TTCTTTTATAGTAAAATAAATAGGACTGCTCTGTAATCTTCAGATTAAATCTTAGTGTTTAAATAACCCTGTGTCTTGGGCCTGTAATCTTCACAAATATACCAGACTGGGATAGGAGAAATGCCCTGCTGCCAGATGAAATTAGGGCCCAATAAAGTGTTTTTTTCCTGAAGGGTAGGCCTCTTTTATAGAGAAGGCTGTAGCAGGGGTGGGCAAACTTTTTGACTCGAGGGCCACCATGGGTTCTTAAACTGGACCGGAGGGCCAGAACAAAAGCATGGATGGAGTGTTGTGTGAACTAATATAAATTCAAAGTAAACATCATTACATAAAAGGGTACGGTCTTTTTTTTCAATAGTTTTATTCATTTCAAATGGGCTGGCCCGCGGGCCGTAGTTTGCCCACGGCTGGTCTAGACACTTGGTTTCTGAAGACTGCTAAGCTGACCCTCCTCAGGGTACCAAGCCTTTTCCGTCATAACGGACGGAACCCGTCATAACGGAAAAGGTCAGTGTGAACTGACCTTTTCTTTCCTTGCAGGATAACAGCATACATTCGGCAAAACTACCAGCCGAGGTTACTGGTGCAAGGAGCAACCGTGGAAGAGTTGCTCCCTCTCCCTCTGTGATGCTAACGGGCTTGCTCACGTTTGAAGCGGTAACCCTGGCCCATTTAGCACCATGCTTTGTCAACTGAAATAATGAATCAAACTGCAGTTGAGGGATGGAGGGTGGGATGAAAAGGAGACTGAGGGCAATTATATACATCACTAAGATACCAAGATATGTACTGAAAGTGTGTCTATTAATATATTATGTCTGAGGCTTGAAAATCATTGATCTCAGTATTAAATCAAACAGCATCCAATGTTTACAATTTTGCACACCTGTAAATGTAGAGCTTTCTGATAGAACCCAAATTTAAATACTAATGGAAGTTCACTGATTATCAGTAAGCTAGAAGAAACAAATTACATACATTTCATAGTTAGTAACCTACAAAAAAAAGTGGAGCACAGGTAAAAAAACAAATGAAATATAATTGTTTCCAGTTTCAACTTTCTCTTGGGAGAACCTAAGAACAGGTAAAAGCCAACCCCATGTAGGTAAGAAATGGCATCTGCTAGTGTATCGGCACATCTTCCCTCAAAGGCAGAGGTCACGGACATAACTCAGACATTCATTTCCACGTGTCATGGTTTTTTAAACATCCACTCCACTGAAGTATACAAACCACTTCTAGGAAAAAGGCACTTCATTGTGAAAGTTAGATTTAATTGCATGGAAGTCGAGAAGGGTAGGAGAGACTCCAAAGTCTGTATTCACCTCTGTATTTACGAATACAGAGCAGATGCCAGTTTATAGCCGATAACATTATAAACAAACCAAACATCAACATTAACTATATTCTCAGCAGAACAGTAATTTATGACATTCCCCCCCCAAAAAAATATAGTTCCAAGTTCCAAGTAAAAAGAAAAAAAAGATAATCACCAGCATTTGCTACATTAGAGCTCAAGACATTGTTTTCTAGAGAATTTCACGTCTACAGTGTGGTTGGTTCTCTGTTTCAGAGCACGAACTGCTTTTCAGATGAAAAACCTGTGGTGGCAGAGGTGTTTGGGGAGAACCCAGAGTGGAAAAATGTTGGGGAGTAACAAGAGGTTCATTTCTCTGGTCAGACAACCAAGTGAGGAGGTAGTTACTCTGAGAACTTCTCAGATAGAGAACGTGGTACTGATCTATGGAGAGTCGGGAAGTAGCAGGAACTTCTGTGAGACTGAAGACAGCAACAGGAATACTTGTTTCTCCTCCAGGGAAGTCAGGACCAGGGCGTCAGTGCAGCTGAAACGAGATGGAACGTGTGTGTAAATGTCACCAGAGAGTGTAAGAAACACCAGGTGAAGAAATCAGTATGAATGACCCCTTCACTTCCAAACGGGTCCTACCTGGACAGTGGCTCTTTTCTGATGCTAGAACTTTAGAAGTATCTATAAGAAAAGAAGACACACCATGTCATTATCATCTAGTTTTAATGCAGTGATTCCTCAAACTCCCGGTCAGTGCCAAGAATGCGGTATTCATACATTTCATAAATAATGTTTTCTAATTTCTAATATTACTGACAAGTAACCATGTCTGTAAAATAATGTTTAAAAGGTTAAACCTCAATACTCGCAGGAGGGGCATTGTAAGGGAAACATTTTATAGCTGGAAGCGAGAGACTATCAGCTAAATTACAACCTAAAAAATAACAGCAACACTCCTCCAAACTGCCCAGTTTGTAATTATGCCCAGAGACCACATGCTCACCTTGTTACATCACCACACAAGGCAACCCCATGCAACCTTGAGTCCCATCATCACTGCTGTTGAGTTTTTTCATTCGGTACTGACGTATTTCTCTTACTAGTGTGTAAAAGGCATCTTCAACACCCTTTAAAAGAAAATGAAAAGACAGCCTAAAGGACACAATCCAAGTTGTAAGCTCTCTCTCTCACTTCTTTATGTGGATTTAGAATTCCAATTATTAAATCATTAACTGATAAAAGAGAGTGGCGTAGAAAGAGGACACTGAATTTAGCATTTCTATTGAATCACATTAAGAGACAGATATACAAATGGCACGTTTTGCAAAATTAACATTCCAGCAAAGAAAAACTGGTAATGTGGGACATACAGAACTACCTGATGTAAAGATTCCATTCAGAAGAACTTAAACTCTAAAGAGTGCCTGGTGTTGGAGAAAAGACTAATGCTTATAAGTATCTTGAATCAAAGGTCTTCATTTTAGTACTATTTGTGCATGTTAATGCAGGAATATAAATGTCACACCAGGATATTAACAAGTTCATTTTGGGTTTAAAGCAAAGATGAAAATAGAACACTATTAAAGATCTGTAACAACAAAGAATGAGGATCAGAGCTCTAGCAAAGAGTCAATCAATCAAACCTTTCTGCCTTCAACAAACCCTTGCCAGGGGCGGGAAGCTGGACTCTACCTGTCTGGTCTTGGCTGAGGTTTCAATGAATGGAATCCCATAACTCTTGGCCAGTTCATGGGCTTGTTTTGTGTCAACTGTCCTTGTTGGCAAATCACACTTGTTTCCTACTAGCACCATAGGTACATCATCTGAGTCCTTCACTCGCTTAATCTGTTCCCTAAAAAAAGGAGTATATTATAAGAATAAGCCTTTTGGAAGGAATAAACAGCTAGAGCAAAAGAAACCTAGCAAGTTTTATCTAGTCTATCAGCTTCTAGTAGTGAGTTTCACTCCCACCACTGTTTACAAAAGACCTTACATAATGAGACTGGTCTAGGCTTGATTCAGGAGCTAGAGGAAAGCCAAGTACCAGCTCAACTTCTAGTGGAAATGGATGGTTAGTCTACTTTGACATGTCCTTATTAGGCTCCTTGATTCTCCAGACCTTGTGGCTCTGGATTTAATTGGCAACTCCGAATCATACTCTAGATTAAGATCCGAAGTGTAAAAAGTAAAGTTCACTGTCTCTAAATAACTTAAGGTTCCCTTGAGAGTGATGGCATTTAATGGAAGACAGTCTACCCACTTCTCTACATGGGTGGTGTCCAAATGTTTCCTTCAAACAAAATTATAGCTGGGAGTTAAGATAAAAAATAGAAGACACCAGAACTGCTCTTATGAACGGTTCTGGAACTCCCAACTGACAGCACTTCCTTCAGTGACATTTAAGACACCGAGCAGTTTGGAAATGAATGCTCCAGATTCTCTTGACCAACACTGTCCAGTAGGACTTCTTACAATGATAGAAATGTTCTACGTTTGTCACGTCCAACTATATCCACTAGTCCCGTGTAGCTATTGAACACTGAGTCAGTCAGTGGGTACTATGGCCAAGGAACTGATTTTTCAATTTTGTTTTATTTTATTAATTTAATTCAGTTAACCGAAATAACCACACACTGAACAGCACTGCTTTAGATTCTACGCTTGGATTACGTACACAACCATCCACCTGAAATGCATGACAGTGGGGGTAATGGCAGGAGCGTATGCTAAAGGATAAGACAGTCTAAAAAGAAAAATAACTTACAGAATTTCAGCAAGTATTAGATGCTTGCTAAGTGCTGGGCATTTTATTAAGTACCGCTATTATTTCCAGAGAGGAAGTGGAAGACAGTAGAGTAGGTTTAGGAGAAAAAACCCACTGAATTCAGTTTGGGACTAGTTTGCTTCTGTGAGCAGACTTCTTCATATGGACAGGGCAGAAGCCAGGACTCAAGGTTGTAGGCACAACACTTGCACAGGCTTTTACTATGTGCATGACACCGTTCTGAACGATGTCATGTTTATCGATTCATTTAATTTTCACAACTCTTGGTAGACATTATAACCTCCATGTTATAGATAAGGAAACTGAGGCACAGAGTTTCAGTAGTTTGCCCCAAAGTCCCATGGCTAATAGATGGTGGAGCCAAGTTTCAACCCAGGCATCTATATTCTTAACCATTACATTATTTTGCTTAAAGAATATGGAGTGCCCGGCTGGTGTGGCTAAGTGGTTGAGCGTCCACCCATGAACCAAGAGGTCCCGGTTTGATTCCAGGTTAGGGCACATCCCTGGGTTGCTGGCTCGATCCCCAGTGGGGGTTCGTAGGAGGTAGCTAATCAATGTGTCTCTCTCTCATCGATGTTTCTATCTCTCTCTCCCTGTCTCTGAAACAATAAAGAACAAAATATAAAAACATATTAAAAAATAATAATAGCCCAATGGAGCTAAGAAAAGGAGTCTTGGAGTTTTGCTCCTGGCGCTGCTACTAGTAACAGTTAAGACTCCAAAAACCTAATAAACTACCTATTTCTGATTTTGTAAAATCAGAATGTTTTCTTTTTTTTATGGTCCAATTGAGCTTTGAAACTTTATGGTTTTACAGAGAAAGACAATCTTTACATTCCTTAGCCCAGCTTTCATCTTTAGCTACTCCCCAGCTGTTTCTTCCTATCATGATCTCTATGACTTACTGAACAATGTTTCTCAGGCGTTTTCCTCTCTGAAATTCCTTTGTGATCTAATAACACCTCTAGTTCGCAATCACTCCCACTAGCAAGCTTCCTTGATACACTATCACACATTCTAGCCATGGTATATTACATAAAATAAATTCCAGCATTAACTTTCTGATTCTCA